AACTTCTTCGTACTGAGTGTACCGAATCGTTTGAAGCTTTACAATGTGAATATGGAGGCTGTAAGGAAGGTCCTGATACGTATGAAGTCGCTATTTTTTTTTATAGATATTTTTAAAAATTGTAAAATGAGAGGGTCTCCATATTCTCGCTGTTAAGGTTGGGACGATTCGGTAGAAATTCGGAGAAAGGTTTCGGGGACGATTTACCTCTCAGATGTCAGTTTCGTCCCACCTTAAGGCGTTCTTACAGCAAATCTTGTAACATGCTTTACAACGGGAATTTCCGAGGCAAAGTGGAGTGCGGTCCCTCGCGGCCCTTTTTTTACAGTGATTTCATATAAAATCTGGCGCGAACGAAAGAGCAGAAGGAACGGCGCTCTCCGGTCACGTAGATTGCCGGAAACGGAAGCTCCACCCTAGGCCAGGCTACGACTGCGTTTGCGTTTACGTTCGCCCGAGGAATGTCGAGTGATCCGACCCAGCGGGATCACCCGGGCAGGATAAATAAATCCCGCTCTATTTACCGTCCTTCCCTTCGATTTACGTCCCGGAAAAATAAAGGGAGGAAAGGGAGAAAAAATACGAAAGAGGCAGAATCCTATCTCAGCCGCATTGAAATCTCTCAAATTTCTCGCTTAACCTTTTTCTTCGCTTTCTTCTTTTTTTTTTCCCCCAGACAAATATACGAGAAAAGTGTGTAAAGTATCTTATCTCGTTGCCTGTCCACATTTTTATACGTAGGGAATATGGGGGTCATTATGGGGTGCTTTGCTCGTTTCGGCGAAGGGACGTGGGGAGTGAAAATAATTTTCCTTTCAAGTGGGAGGGTCGAACGTGGGACCGACTCGAATCAAGGGAACCTTTGTATTCCGTGGTAGTTAGCCACTTTATTAATTTAGGCAGGATAATGGCCGCGGTCAAGACGCCATTCAGAGGTTAACGTTCCTTTCCGCCCTCCTCTGCTTTAACCCTCCTCGTTAACATTTCCGCCTTCTTTCTCGGCCTCGTATCGCTTCCGAGAGTCGAGATCCAATCGTGACGAATTTTCCCTTCCGACGCGTTCTCAAATCGGTTCTATTCCATTTTCTTGAAAAGACTAAGGTTAAGTAAGAGGATAATGTGAAAATCAGGAATAAATAATACATTTCACGTAAGAAAGTTCCCAGCGTAGTTCCTCGCACGCGTCCTCGGGATTTTCTATATATCTTTGTTATTTCTTTTCTATTTCTGTTTCGTTTTTTAATGCCTCATTCTCGTCACGTAAGAGCGGCTCGTACTCGGCGGGGATAATTCGCACACCGTGTCGGGAAAATTGACGATCCTCGCCGCTTGGGACGGAAAATCGAGGAAAATAATTGCCGTAGGTCGGGGACGATTTACGCGCTCGCGGTGTCGGGGTCAACGAGAGCGAATTCTCTGTCCGAGTGTCTTCGCGGTCGCTTTCGGTGGAGGGAAAAGGGGGAAACAAGTTCTCGAGGCGGCGACATGTGTCGGGGATTTTTCTTGGCACGGACTCGAGGGCTTTCAGGGAGATCCTGTGGGCTTAACGATCGGCCCGGAAGGGTCCTCCAGCGACGCGGAGGATCTCTTCGGGGCGTCTAAAGTGGAACTCGCCGGGGTGTCTAAAGTGGAACTCGCCGGGTAGTCTAAAGTGGAACTCGCCGGCAGAGGCGGCGCGCGCGGCCTTATGGCCGATGCCACGGGGCGCGGCCAACGGTGGCGCAGGAAAACGGCTCGAGTGCCGGCGGGTTCCACCTTCATCGAGGAGATATATCGTAGATTGGTCACGCGCCTGCGATCGAATTCGGGTTACACGCTCCTCTCCCTTGAGGTCGGCCTCGACTTTCCTCTGCCCTCGGCGCGGGAATCGGTCCTTTTCGGTCTCCTTCTTTTTTTCCCGGTCAAGGCGCGACGTTTACTTTTTGCCTCCTCCTCCGTCAGAATATTTCCTCGATTTCCCGGAGAAACTTCCAACTTTTTGCTACGCGGAGAAAGAGATGTTCATCCAACCCGAGAGGCATTTCCTTTGAACGGTGCCAAAGAAATGCTCCAATTCAAGGAATTTACCCAAATTACCTGGAATAATTTCAACGCAACGTTTCTTTGGAATTGTGACAATTTATTTGAGTTTATTCGTGTGAGACAATTCTTTGGTTCAATATTTTTTCTTTCTTTTTTTTTCTATGTTCATGTTACTGTCTTTTTTGGCTCCAGTGGAAAAATGATAGTTCGATGGAGAATAATGAAAAGGGAAATCGAGCCTTTCCCACCTAATATTTTGCGCCTGATGTTTTACGCTTAATACATTATTCATATGTCTAGCGCAGGTAAATATATATATATATATTTATTTAGTTATTTATCTCTGATTTCCTGGGAAATTTCGATGGCGCTTTTCAGCCGGTCTGCGTGGGAAATGAAAACGACCAGGTGTCGATAATGGCGGTGGCGCATTGTTTCGCGGGAAGTCCGTCCTCGGTGCGGAATCCCGCGTGCGGAGAAAACGGTCTCCGCACGTCAACCGCCGAGCGGCCGTGATAAGCCACTCGATAATGGACTTCCGGTCGTCGACGGAAAGACGGACGTCCCGCTCGGGCTCGCTGCGAGTATCGATTATCGAAAATCGAGCCGCTGCTTACGCATTCCGGCTGGATTGTGATCCGATGCGTAAGCGGGTTTGCATACCGCGACGCGGACCCTCGATTAAATATTGATATCTCTCCTCTGAGGCCACCTAGAGCTCGCTCCCGAGACAAGTACAATTTCGAAGCGTCGGATCCGAAGATCGAAGACAATTAATCGCCCGATAAGGAGATATCTCTTCCCTGTTAACCAGCAATTAATATAACGTCACTGTATCAACCCGCGACGCTTCTCGGCGAAATTGAAATGGAAAGTCCAATCCGTGATTGATTAGTCCGACCGATGGATTTAATCGCCCGTTGCGGTTAAATTCCTAACCGATAGCGATGTGTACGTTCCCCGCATTCCCAAGGATTATTAGGCGAGTTCGCTGCACTTCGTTATCGGCCCTCGCGATAATTCATCCGCTCATTGTCCGCGTCTCGAGAGCGCTTTCGAGTGGCTTGCATGTATTTCTTTATTTCACGGGATTTCTTTACATGGGATCACGTGAATTCACGACTATACGTATACACGGAAGAAAAATAATTTCGTTACCATTACTATAGCAACGTGGGTAAAGTATTGTTGGAACGAATCTAATGGTAAATCTAACCTTGTCAATAGTTGCCTTATCCATGAAAATCGGTAAAAAGTTGCGGCAATGATTACCATTTGGAATGGTGATATTAATTATGCGGGGAAGGTATGATAAGCATAATGATACGACAACTAGTACCTCGTAGTTACCTTGACTAAACGGTGAAGTAACCGTTACTTTGTCCTTTTACTGTGTTACCTTAGTTGCCACAAACTACTAACGAAAGGTTATCCCATATGTTGCCTTGTAACGTGGTTACGATTATCATTATTGCGGTTTTTCCTTCTATTCCTTTTTGTCTCGTGTAATATGAAGATGTAACGGCATGAAATTTAATACGGCTGGTTTTTAGGAATGTCAGAGAGGTGTGTCGTCTGAGGAGAGGCGGGAGTTTTGGCATTCCTGGTCCGAGGTCCTTTGGGTTCTTTTTGTTCCCATTGAACCCTCGGGATCCCGGATCAGGGGAGCATCTTATTAGCGAGGCGATTCGCGGAATCGGCAGGTCGATTCGTGCATTTCGGGCCCCGAGACCTTGGGACCTCTCCACGTGGGGCCCAATCGCCTCCCACCCTTTATCGAGTGATATCACGAGTCGACCCCGAGTCCCTTTGTCACGGCCAGAGTGTCTTATCGTCGGATCGAGTTACAGTCCTGATACGCACCCCTCACCCCGACTCCCCATAGAGACCCCCCACAATAGCTTCCGTTTAATCGACACGTATCCATGTACGTCAATTCCATCACGGATCTCCATTTGAAAGGTGACCACCAGATGGAATGAGATGACTCGATGGAAAAATATACTAGGGAAACGATATGGTCTGGACAAAAAAAAATCTGCCTTTTTACTCCCCGTTTCTCCGGTTTTTCGGGAAATTGTAGCTGTCTTTAAATACCCCGAAAAATGACACGACGGATGGAAAATTATCGATATCGAATCCAGGAAAATCCCTGAGAGCAGCTGAAAATACCTGGGATTCCCTGCCGACGTTCAAGGGCCTCCCCCGCGAGGGGAGGTCCTCCCCTCGGCGGGGTCGGGCGCCGACTGGGGTGTCGCGCGGCGAACCCCACCCCGAAGATGTCGGGGGTCGGGTGCGCAGCTTGCCGCGCGCATGCGGGTCCGGTAACCAACCGAGCCCGGGCGCCGCGAGTCCGGTCGAGGCCCGTTCCGGGCCTCATTCTTCCCCCGGCCGTCGAGCGGTACGCATCGACTCGCGAGAGGAGAGCCGCCGCCTGGGAGGAAGAGTCGGTGTCAGTCCCGCGGCCCAGGGCCCGTCCAAGGACCGCGCCGCCACGCGCCTCGCCCAGAGTTCGAAGACCTCGCGGCCGCCGCGGGGTGCGTAGTCGGAGATAGAGAGGCGTCGCCGCGATCGATCGACCCTCTAACCACCGCCGAGAGTGCCGACCGAGAGAGAGAGGGAGAGAGAGAGAGAGAGAGAGAGAGCCCGGAGGGACCGGCGCAGAGGAGGGAATCGCGAGTCGCGCGCCCTCTCTCCTCCTCGGCGAACGTTGCGCGTAACTCTCGACTCGAGGTATTGATAATCGGCGGCGCATCTCTGGAGAATACGCCGCGAGGTTGGCCGAGGTGCCCCGGGGACGGAGAGAGGAGACAGGACTCTACTCGAAGGGTATCCGCCGGTCCCTCGGATCGCGGGATGCGCTGCTGACGGAAGGACCAGGGCAGGACCTCTCCGTCCCTCCGCCCCGAGCGGCGGCGCGCCGTCTCTCTCTCTCTCGCGTGCGCTCGGCGGTGCGCGCCTAGCTTCGGCCCGGTCGCGGTCTCGGCGCCGGTCGGCCGCAGTCGGCCGCGCGATCCCGAGCCGAGTGGCCGCGAGTGGCACGCTCTCCCCCTGCACGCGCACCGCGGGACTCTGTGGGATTTTCGCCGACTGGGCACTCCCCTCCGTAGGATTCGGTGAGTACCCCGGGACGGGTTTTCAAATCCTCGCAGAATATAAAAATGGAAAAGAAAAATAATCTCGGTAGAGCCTCGCGCCCAGTACACACCTGTGCAAGGCACTCGTGGTGTCGAGTGCGACGAAGTGGGATATAAAGCGGCGCAAAACGTGCACGGTATAAGGTATCCGGTGACTGAAATTATAGTGCGCCGAGGGATCCTCGAAAGTGAGGTTAGGTATCTCTCGCTCTTTTTCTTCCTCCTTTCTTCCTAGCGAGCGAGACGTCGCTCCGGGCGCTCTTTGTCGAGGCCCGCGCGCGCGCGCGCGCGCCCGCCCGCCCGCCCGCCTTTGTTCCCGGCGGCGCGTCCCAAGGTTTTGGAGGTTAGGTCGCGCGAGGGTGCCTTTTGGGTCTCCGCGATCGCCATTTTGGGCTACGCCGGGAGGCAATCGATAGCGACGGCACGCGCGGTGAGATATTCCCTAGGCCTAGGGGAGACTAGGTGGTGCCGGCGGGCTTCCGCGTTCGGCTCCCGGAGGTGAGGAGTGCGCTTGCTCTCTTTCTCTCTCTCTCTCGTTCTGCGCGTATCGCGCTCTCTCCCTTCCTCTCCCCGGGATTTCCCGTCGATCGATAACCGTGTATCGACGAGTGGCCACCACGGCTCGGCCCGAGCCGAGATTATTCGATCGGTGCGATGTCGTGGCCGGTCGCCGCCATCTTGGACCGGCCGACCCCCCTCCTGCGCAGGCGCGAGTGCCTTTTGCAATTAATCGCGTCTCCCTCGCACGGGTGGTTCCCGCCTTTACAAGTTTGCCGGTGCCCCTCCAACCGCTGGTAAAAGAAGAATTGTGGGATAAATCTCAAATTAAAAGTAGAGAATTCTCGATAAAAACAAAAACTCATAGATCTGCACTCATGCCTAGTGTTTAGCTATAGAACGGAAGGAGGGCGTTTTTTTCACGCCAAAAATGAGGCGCGAGGATTAGGTTCCAGATAAAAAGGACGCGCATCAGAGAATGTCGCGTTAATTCCGTGTAATCGGCCTCTTGCAACCGTGTCCTGGGCATGCACGGAGACCTACGTACACCTTGGGACGTACCTACGTATTTGGCGGTCGCGGATTGTCGGGGAAGGAAGAAGAGACGATCGCCCGATAGCGCCGTAAGGCCCCACGGCTCGCCCCACGTGTAACCACGTGACAGGCCGCCGCCGCCATCTTGCTTTCTGCCGGGCACCCGTCGCTCGACCTCGGGAAGTATTTCCGACCGCAGGGACATTTCCACGCGTTTTCTTGCCCCGCGTACGTTTTCTTTCCGTCCGTGATACTTGATTCCTCCTACATCGGGCCTAGGTTGGCTCCTATCTCGGAGAGGAGAGCGCAGGAGACGAGCCGGAGAAAGGTTCCCTCGGGTGGCCGCGGGCCAACCGAGAGCGAGAGACGCGTGTGGCCCGGGAGTGAGGAGCGAGGGAGACGGAGCGAGGCCGCGGTAGAGGAGAGCGAGGAGGACGGGGATACCTCCGTGGCTAGGCGAGACCCCGGAGGCGGGAGGACGGAGCTAGGCTGGTCTACCCGGGAGCAAGGAGGACAGACTGGAAGGGACTAGAGGTGTGCGGACTCGAAAGGAAAATGGGACTCTTTGTTCGGACCTCGCGGTCTTTCCAGGCGAAACGCGGACTCACCTTTGCCTTCCACCGCCCCCCGCGGCTTTTCCGCGACCCCTCCCCTCGCCCTCGCCGGGATCCAATTTGCCACCCCTTTCGTGCCCTTTAAGGGCCTTTTTGCCGCGAGCCCCCTACCTCGGGGCGTCCCTCTTGAACCTCCGACGTAAAGGGAACGCGGGGACTTCCACGGGAGGGGAAACGTCAAAGGAACGTCTAAACACTCGAAGAGCGAGCTCTCCTTTGAGCTTATCCCTTTCATATCTTCTTTCTTTCGTTATTTCCTTCTTCTTCTTTTTTTTTTTGGGGGGGGGTTCTTCCATTAAGAAAAATCCTCGCGTCCCCCCTTGATTTTTAGGATTATACGCGGCTCTCTTCGTTCTTCCACTTTGATGACGATAAATCGAGTATTCCATTTTTATTTCCTTCTCGGTTCTTTTTCCTATTTTACATTGGGCTTAATTCTCTCTTCCTTTTCCCTGCTTTCCATCCTGAGAGGGCGCCGTTCATTTTGACGCAGGTTTCCGCGGAAACTACCGCGCCGTGGTTCTAGCTCCTGTGACTTCGGGCCCGGCGCTCGCCGCAACGGGCCGCTGCACCGGCCCGTTGCAGGCGGCGAGAGAAAGGCTCGGGAAAACGAAGGCGCGCGAGCTGCAGCTGCAGCTGCAACGCCGAACCCGCTCCTCTCGCCGGTAAGGTTTATCTCGCGGTTTAGACCCGAGGCGGGAGAGGAATCTTGCCTCTTGATGGGGTGGGGGGCCTCGATTTTTACTCCTTCACGAAATGAGCGTTTTGTCACACTAGAAAATACTCATGGGATGTAATTCAATATCTATATCTCCTGATTTCCTCGATTTGACATTTATCGCGAAAAAACGTCTCTTTGTTGCGCTTTAATCTCTCTTAAATCCCTTTTTACCTTCTTTTTTCCCCTTGAAAATTAAATACTCATGGAAAATAATTCAATATCTACGCCTTGTGATTTCCTCGATTTCATATTTATATTCATCGCGAGAAGTCGACTTGAATAATCGTTAACGACTCTTTTTTTGCTTTCATTTTTACTCGAATTGAAATATCTCGCTTGTCTGTTGAATTAGGAAATGTCAAGCTTTTGGGTGTCGGTTTTACGTCCCGTTGGAGGTTTTTTTTTTTTTTTTTTTAATGAATCCTACTTTTTTTCATCGAAGGAACTTCGGTCAAAGGAGATGGGGCCTGATTTGAGTTAAGATTCCGCCGATGAGCGAGCTCCACCGTTCCGATTGGCGTTATCGGAGAACTTGCCGTTATACGACTCGCCCTGAGCGATAACGGGTCGTTAACTTGGCCACATCTTCTGTGGTCGCCGACTCGCGACCGCTCCTGAGCGACTTGTATCGCTCAGGTTACCCCTGATAAGGGAGGACCCTCTTATCACGTGTCGTCGGTCGATCCGCGAATACGATTCGGGTGTTTATCAGAACTAAGAAAAAGAGAAATAAATCGCAACACCTGGAAATAGATCAATCCGTTGGCGGAATAACGCGTGTGTTATATTAGACGTCACCGGGGAGAGACATTTAGATCTTGCGAAAATGTCTAATTATTAGGCCTTGGAGATGTTTTTTTACCGGGCAAGTCGCGATGCGGCGATGATTCGATATCGAGGATCGATCGGTCGGTCGCAATTGCCGGCTGATTCGATTTAAATGCCTCGTGGCTCTTCCTCGAGGTGCGATTCGCTCGGGCCATGGTGCAGCTGCCGTTTAAGAATAAATATCCGCGGACTTTCCGCACGGGTATTTTCGTGCACGCCCCTCGGGCCGCGCGGAGCCGGCCGTAAACAAGACGCGTGCGGCTAGCGCGAATTTGAATTTTATTTTATTATTAATATCTCGTTGTCCTAGTCGTCGCGCCCAGCTTCACCCTGCACAACATAAGGGAGGAGATTACTTCCACGTCAGGATGAATATAAAAATAAAAAAACCTCAAGACTCTCTTTTATTTGATTTTTATTTTTTCGGTCATTTTTATATCGAGGCCCGGGAAACTCGAGAGAACGTAATGAATGACTCCGTTTCTTTTATCTTTCTCCCTCTCTCTCTTTGTTTTCCTACAGCAGGAGGAAAACTTTATCGGCAATGCTGTCCTTTGCTAAAAGTGCGTCTCTTATTTTCTTTTTTTTTTTTTTCCCGCGCGTAGATGGGAAATTGCGAGTCATATTGTCAAGGATCAGTAGGATTGGACGATTATCGATCGAGGTCGATCCTCTGAGGCATCGACTTACTACGTCGATTGGACGAAGGAGGGAAACGGAGAGAGAATGAGAGACACGCGAGCGCGGCGGCGGGATCGTTAGCTTAACAGGCGACGGCAGTGACCCCTGAATGCACTTATTAATCTATTGAACGGGATTGATAAAAGAAATCTCCGCGTCGTTCTATTTATACGGCCGCCTTGAATAGATAATTACTCTCGACTCGGTTCCTCTCTCCAGCGCAGAAACGACGCCATTCGGCCACTCTGTCTCTCTCTCCGTCTCGCTCTTTCGCATTCTCCCCCCCTCTGTCTGCCTCGCTCTCTCCGGGACGCGCTTTATGCGTAAGCGTCACGCACCCGAAAGAAAGAGACAAACGCATTGGGGCCCTCTTTCTTTATTTTTCGCTGGTTTCCCTCTCCCATGAGCGCAAAACATTCTCTAATCACTCCTCCCCCTTCTATTCTTCCTGAATTTCCGGGGAGCGATATGTTAAGCCTTTACCCTTTGCACTTTTTTTCCATTTTCTTCTTTTGTTCCCTTTTGTTGATTTTTAATTTTCTTAAGATGACGGTAAAGGGTCCGATAAAAATACAAGAGATTAATAATTTCCGGGGGGGGGCGATATGTTAAGCCTTTACCCTTTGCACTTTTTTCCATTTTCTTCTTTTGTTCCCTTTTGATTTTTAATTTTCTTAAGATGACGGTAAAGGGTCCGATAAAAATACAGGAGATTAATAATCTCGTTTTTTTTTTTTTTCTACGATTATCAGCTGTTGAATATCTTTGTCTGTTAGTAGTCGTAAGGGCTTTGGAATCCTTATCAGGCCCTCACGAGTGTATTTGATAACGTGAGAGGTACTCGCCAATCGAGCTATAGAGCTGCCGGATGAATTATGTTAATTAACTCGGGATTGGGCGATTAGGGAATTGTTGGCCGAGGAATGTCCCTCCTGTCCCCCACGCATCTCGAAAACGGGACGAGGTCCTGAAAAAGCGCCTTATCACAGGATGCGAACCGATATAGAACACCCAGATAGGAATGCCGCCATAAAGGAGAGGGGCCCCGGATCGAGGTTTGATAGACCTCGACCTTGATGTCGGACTGCCGGAAGTGCAAATTGCATGTTGCATTTCGAACGCTCTGGAGGGGGGGCGGTATTTTTTATTTTTATTTTGGGAGCCGCGAGGGACGGCTCGATTTTTTGTTATGACTTCGGGAGATTATGTCGGTTGGATANTATATTCGTTACGTGGTAACGCAACGTGTGTCAGGCGTTTCCTTTGAACTAGAAGGCCTTACACCGTACAATGTCGGGCTTTCAGATGGTGTTAGAATAATGGAGAACGGTTCGAAGGATGCCGAAGAACGGCGGAACTGTTGGGGTGCGTCCTAACCTAGAATTAGTCGCGAGGCGGATACAATCGCGTCTGTTTTTCTTCAACTATGAGACGGGAAAAAGTTGGCCGCTTGTCTTGGATCGGATTGCGAAATTATATCTGATGTATCGAATGTGAGGAACTTCAAAATCCCGACAAGAAAGCAAAAATGTGGAAGTAACGATTTTTTTATTCTCCTTTTTTTTTTTCCCCGCGCCTTAAATACTTTTAACCCTCGATAAGATTTCGAGATAAAAATTCCTGGGATTTTCATTGACCCGATACCATAGGATATGTTGAAATTTTCAAAACTGGGCAAAAATGTATAATTAAGGATTTTCTCGTTTCTTCCGCGCCTGAGATTCTTCGAATCCTCTATGAGATTTCGGGATAAAAGATTTCGGTGATATTCATTCGATTAACTGGATAAATTGTACATATTGAGATTTTGTGAAATTGGATAAAAATGTGGGAGTAACGATTTTGCTCGTTTTCCTTTGCAGCTGAGACCCCGGAGGAGAGAGAGAGACCGAGCCAAAGGAGGGATAGGAGGATCGCCCGTCGAGAGAGAGCCGCAGGGAGAGACAGAGAGGGGTGTCGGTGTTAAGAAGCGCGCGAGGCGAGCAGGAGAGACAGAAAAATGGGAGCGCGACAGAGCAAGAGGTCGGTCGACATAACGACGACGCCGAAGAAGGAGGGCGTCCCGGCGGAGGGCGTCGGCGACGCCGCGCCCGGGGACGGCAAGCTGGAGAGAATCGAGGAGACCGACGCCAAACCGACCAGCAACGGCATAGGGCCTCACACGGACGCCGAGGAGAAGGACAAGGATAAGGACGAGACCGCCGAGAAGGACAAGGAGAAGGTGAGTGGTCCATTTCCTCCTCGGTTGGCCCTCCGCTAAGGATCCTAACCGGGGAGATTTTCAAAAAATTCCGCCGAAGGGGAATTTATTAAATAAATTGTATTAGTGGAACTCTGGCGGAATAGGAACCACTCTTCTTCAAGGAGCTGAAGAAAGGCGCTCGAATCGCCGGCGGGATCCTTTCCCTCTTCAAGGTCCTGGCTCGTCCTTTCGATCCGATCGACCGGACGATTTTCAAACAACGGAGGTAGAAGGGAATTCGTTAAACAAACCCTTGAAGAGTCAAGGTCCTGGCTCCTCCTTCCTCCGATCCGAGTTTCAAAAAGAAAAGGGATTTTTACATTGATTTACGAAAGTGGATGTTTGACGGAATCAGGACCACTTTGCTCGGAGGGGCTGAAGGAAGGCGCTCGGGTCGCCACTGGTATCCTTTCCCTCTTCAAGGTCCTGGCTCGCCTTTCTTCCAGGCGGAGGATATATCCCTCTCTCTTTTTCTCCGTCCTCCCCCTCTCTCCGCGAAATCCGCGAGCCGGCTCGCGCGGCTCTCTAAGGCCACCGGGCCTTCTTGCGGAGGACCCTGAAGAGGGGACTCTACCTATTCCTTGTGTTTCGCCAAATGCGAGCCCACGTCTCGACGCCGATGACGAAGACGGAGGATGAATCCTCGATATGTCGCGAGACGCCGAGTTCCCCTTCGTGGCAGGGAAAGCGTCTTCGGGGCGTCGCGGTTTCTCCCTCGGCTCCTTTCTTCTCTAGGAAACTCTATATTTCCTCCATTAGGCAATCCCGGTAGTTGTCACGCGCCAAATACGACGACACGCGAGAGAGGGCATCCCCTTCCGTTTCTTGCCATTGTCCGCCGAAGGGGAACCAGGACACCTGACAGGGTGATGGGACTCCACCAGGTTCGCTAAGGTTACTCTTCGGCATCGGGGAATAATTCCCTCCGACTTGTATCTTTCTCTTTTCCTTTCTTTCCGTTCTTCTTCCTCTATTCTTGCCCTCACCGTCGAGGCAATGGCGATCGCGCGTTTCGCTTCGTGGGGTGTCGAGTCGGGGTTCTCGAGAACTCCGGAAGGTCTTCTTCAGGGTATTAAAACCGAATTGTCGGCAAGCGTTGGGTATGCACGGGATATTTCGCCTCGAGTCTTCCTTCTTCTTCGCTCCTCTCCTCGGCCGAGGCGAAATCTCGTAAAATCTCGCGGCAGGTGCAACTCGGACCCGATCACGTACAGGTTCTCGACGGGAACACCTGAACACCTGTCCCGTGACTCTCTATCTTATCCGAATAACCTGACGATACCGCTCCGATCCCAGAGGTGCATATAAAGTGCCCTGAAGTGAAACCCGAAAGAGGACCTTGAAGGATTCGGTCCTTCTCCTCAATTCTCAAATCTACGTTCTCCGTCTCTCTTAATCCTTTTCTTAACTTCTATCTCTCTTCACCGCTCTTCGTCTCTCCCCGTCCCCTTATTCTCTGGAAGTCTCGTGTCCATCACTCGTGCGGGAAAAGAAACGCGTGCGGCGCCCACGCTCGGTCACCCGATCGCGGACAAGGCCAAGGTCAAGGCCACGGCGATTAACCTTGACCGAAACTCCCCATAGGTATCGCCCAAGGTTCCCCGAAATAATTTCGTACGGCTCGCTCGTAAGAACATTCCCTCGATTCCACCCTGGAGTATTTAACAAAAGTATAATAAATTCATACTCGGAAATATTGTCCAAAGATATCGAGGTAACGATTTGTCGAAACCTTTTATTTAATTAAAAAAAAAGAAATTCAGTCATATGAGTTAATTACACCAAAATTCAATAAACTCGCTAGAATCTTGTTTCTCTTTTTTTTTCTCAGATTATTTCAATAGTCGGACTATTTTTTTATTTTTATTATATTATATTAATCGAATCAATTTTTTCCGACGTTCTCAGAGCGAACGGAACGACCTATCCTATTTCTATTGTTCAATCACGGAATTTCGGGAGATTCCTGATTTTTTTTTTCTTTTATGGGATTTTCTCTTGGGTTTATTATTTTCTTTTTATTTCTGTCCTCTCGTTTCGGCGATAATATAAGCGTGCCTCACTTAACTCTCGTTAACGCGGCAAGGTCGGAGAGTGCACGGAGGTACCGCAAGCCCCGGGGTCGCCGGACGATGACGGATTATGTCGAGGAACAGGAGGGAAAAGAAGAGAGGAGGGGAAAAGGAAAAAAATATCCAGAGACGAGATGCTAAGGTTACGGGCAATTTGCCCGCCACTTGCCGGCCACTTACGAGCCGCTTATCCGGACCACGCGGTCGGCCGATTTAACACAACGCGCGCACTTGATCGCGCGGAACTTCGCTCGAATCCGTCGCTACTTCCCCAAGAGAGCGAGAGAGAGAAAAGAGAGAGAGAGAGAGGTGCCGATTCCGTTAAGGCGACTCGAAAAGTGGCCGTCGATCGTTTGTGAAACTTTTCTCCGAACTGTACCAAATCGCCCGAAATATTACCACGTGAACGCGAAGGCCTTGAGGGAACGTCCCGGTACTTGAAGTTTCGTACTTTTCATTTTCAGAATTTTTTTCATCGCCTTTTTTTTTTATTTTTCATACAAAATTGACGTTTCATGGGGGTAGGAAGCCTCTGTATACTCACGTGGTAATGGTTAAAACCATTGGGAGAGGTATTTCATATTTTAGACCGACGGAGGCGTAGATGCAGGTTATGTGCTCATACTCAGGAAGTTTCAATATTTTGTATTTTCAGAACTTTTGTTATTGACAGTTTTTAATCTCTCGTAGAAAATTTAATGTTTTACGGGAGTAGGGTACCTTCGTATTCTCACGTGGTAATGGTTCAAACGATTTGGAGAGGAATTTCATATTTTGGATCGACGGGATTTCTAGGTGTAGGTTATGTGCGCGAGGGATACAGGAAGAAAGGTCGACGTAAACGCCGAGTAGTGGAGGCGCGGAAAAACCGAACGGCAGGGAAACGCGACCTCGAATGATTCATTGGTGAATCATTCGAGGCCTGTTCTCGCGAGGAATTCGCTCGCGTTTCGTCAATTGATCTCTCTCTCTCCTTCTCTCTGTCGCTGCTCTCCGATTACGAACAATTAAAAGCGTCAACCGGTCGGAATTCGCTTTGTCTCTTCCGGCGAACTCGCGTCCCATGGGGTGGATTTTTCGCGCGGTGGAAAGACGAAATTCTAAAATACCGCGGGCATTTTAAGGCGTCGTGAAAGTGGCGTCTGACAGGTCAATCGTTCGTGATACACTTTTCTCCGAAGTGGGTGTACCGAATCGCTTCAAACTTTACAACGTGAATATGTAGGCTATAAGGTAGGTTCCGACACCCACGAAATTCCATATTTTTTTTTTTTTTAATTTTGTTTATAGAAATAAAATTTACAGAATAAAAAAAATTGAATTTCCTGGGTATCGGGACCTTCCTTACAGCCTCCATATTCACGTTGTAAAGCTTGAAGCGATTCGGTACACCCAATTCGGAGGAAAGTTGCACAAACGATCTCTCGAATGTCGCTTTGATGTCGCCTTAAATGCGACCACGTGTCGCCCAGGACTCGGAAATTCATGTTCCTGCACTTCCGGCGCTTATGGCCTCACTTTTCATTTTTTTCTTTCCTTTCCTTTTCGTTGCATCTTTTTTGTCAATTTCAAACCGTGTACAGTGCCGGACATGAATGTGCCTTCCTGTCGTACATCCCCGGCAGTACGTTCACAGCGAAGCATTCATGTCCGGCAGGGTACACGTCGAAGTTTGCGGGGGTTCTCGGTAATCCGCTCTTTTTACCGTAAAAAGTAACGACACCGAACGTTCCGTACCCTCGGTGACTAACGAGTACTCGCGCACTCCTTGTCTTAATCACCCGAGTGCTCGCGCACTCGCTCCGATAAGAGACGTGATTCACGTCTCCGGCCTTTTCTGTCTCTCCGTTCGGAATGAGAGGAGAGAGGAAAAAACAAGAAGAAGAAAAATGTAGTCATCTCAAAATCCTCGATCGTGGGAAAAGCGATTGTCCGTCCCCGACGGGCGGATTCGGACAAAACCGGAGAAGAGGGAACGGGGAGAAAGAAGAAGAAGAAAAAGAAAAAAAAGAGACAGAGAGATAAAGGGAGCTTCTTTCTCGCGGGATCAATACCTACGCGAGGACGCGCTCTCGTTGTCGGGAAAACAGCGGCGGAGACACGCAGCGGCCAACTTGAACAAAAGCACGCCGAGAGGGAGAGGAAAGTCGGGAACGAAGAGGGCCGATTATCGTCACGAAAGGTCGGCCCGAGAAATCGTGCTCGCGTACGCGCACTCTCCCCGGGAATTATTTCCTCCTCCCCCCCCTCTTAGAGATGCATTTTGCGTGCCCCGACTCGTTCGCCTCGAATTTTGGGAACCTCGACTTCTGCCGCCTTTTTTTTCCCCCCTACTTTTTTATCTCCTCGTTTCCTCCGGAATAGACCTCGATCGGTCTCGATTGATCCTGTCGATTGGTTTTCTTCTCTGAGACTCCGCCCCTCCCAATTTTTTTCTCTGAAATTTGCTCCTGAATTTTTTTTTTTAACGGTCTCTCTCATTTTTTCACCTTTGTAATTTGCCTCGTTTTGTAAATATCGAGCCGGATATTTAAGGCGTTATGAAAGCGGCATTCTGTATATATATATATATTTTTTTTTTTTGACGTCTTGATGTATGTAAATTGACTCTATAATAACGGCTTAATAACCAGAAAATCGCCGTAAGGGGGAACGTCTCAGTAGTTCAGGGATTTCTGGGCAGGTGCAACGCTCGATGATTCTAGGGGAAATTGGACGGTAAATAAATCATTGACTCCCATGAATTTTCCATTCGGTCCCCCGGCGACGAGGAGTCGCGATGCGCAGAACGTCGCGTCCTCGAGGAATCGCTCGTGTCCAGGTGTGCGCGCGTCGCGTGCGTGTACATTTCTGACGCGCGACGTTCGAAAGCCATTGTACACCACCTCTCTTCTCTCGGGGGACACCCACTCGCTTCGTCTCTCTCCCACGCGCGGCGCCCGGCCTCGCTTCCTCTCTCTCGCTCTCACGCGCGCGGGGCACTCCGTCGGCGCGGGTTGGTTCTTCCTTCGCCGCGGTATCTCTATGTGCCCCGTCTGGAGGAGCACGTAAAAATAACTCCGTATTTACATAATATAATGCGCACTCGCCGACTCGCGACAGATTCTTATTAGCCGAGCAAATAATAGGTACCTATCGCTCCGCCTGCGGCCTCCTTTTCTTAGTTTCCTTTTCCTCCTTATTTCCATCTTCTTCTTTTTTTATTTTTCCATTTTTTCCTTTTACCTATTCGCACGCGCAGAAAAAGAAATTACCTGGTATTACTAGAAATTCTACATAGACAGATGTGAACACCTGAAAGTGTCATCGAGAAATATTTTTGTTATATTGACAAGAAGAAAAAACTATTACCTCACCGGGACAATAGAAATTATTTTCTAACGATAACAAATTGTATATCGCTCGTTTGTTTAAACTGTGGCAACAATATTTCTTTGGCCTTTGCTGCAAATTGACTGGCAGAATTTAGCGAGTATTTTTTATGAAGATAGCTCTCCCGTGGGTAAATATTTATGCCGTTGGTGCGATTATTATTGCTGCAAGAGCAAAACTATCGGCTGTGCCGTCCTTTGGTGAAGATAGACATGTACTTTTGTCTGCGCATCTTGTCCAATTTTTCATTTTATATTTTTTTCAACTTAGTAGAATTCTTCTAAACTCTGGACAGGGTATACGTCGTCTTTTCCTTTTTTATATACACTTTTAATTTGAAGTGTCGCCATATTTTTTTGCAAGTGTCATCTTGCATAGTTAGACGTCACGTTTTGTGAACCCCTCGTGACGTAATCTTAACCACTAAACGGGGTAACGGCGTCTGAGAATGAGATTTTTCTCTTTTTTTTTTTCTTTTTCTTTGATTTTTCACTTTTCTTTGACGACGGGAGGTCGATGGCACGTTCAAAGGAGGAGCGATATAAGAGGGTAAAAGGGATAGAAGAGATAAAACAGATAACAGGGGTGCACAGAGGTGAGTAACCACGTGGGGTTATTCATTGAAAGATCTGCCCTCGACAGTAGGGATGGTTTTTTGTTTTTTATTTCTTGTATTTTTTCCTTTGCTCTGACCTCCAGCGAGAGTCGTTTTGTGCTACGCTGTGACGTTCTCGAAATGTCTTTTTTTTTTTAAAAAAAAAAACCTTATGACGTCAATGTGCTATGTTTAAAATGTCACCAAAATTAAACGTTGGGTAGAATGCAAAACTTTTTCGAGTCTGAGAAATGGAGCCTAGAAGGACATTGTTTATTTATTTATTCCTTTGTGCCTCGAGTGCACTCGCCGGCTCGTTGCGCTATTACCCGTAAATGGGACTCGCGTAGAAAAAGATCCATGGAAAGTTCGTAATACCGGCGCTCGTTACGATGACTCAAGAGTGACTTCGTAACTGCGAACTGTCGGCGAGGAAATGTCCTCCCTGACGGTAATGACTCTTCGGGCCGTAAGCGAATAACCTCTCGCGTGATCTTTTAATCCTCTCCCGGATAAGAGAGGAATTCTTATCACGAGAAAAAAAGACATTTGCACTTTTAAGAAAGAACAGCATCGCCGATAAAATTTCACTCTTACCGTAGGAGAAATCGCACCAACGATCGAGCTATTTCCAATTATACTTTTAGAATACAATTATTAAAATTCTTAGGTACCAGTTATGAAGGTAAATTTCCATTTAATGCAAGGAGAGCGATCGAATTTGCGGGACTGGCCCGGTGGATGATTTTTCAGGATTTCCGAGGATTCTCTTTTTCTCGTCCTTGCCGTGGGAGAGAATGACTTTTCGTTGACTCGAAGGAATTTAGGTCGTTAAGTCGTTAGCTTAATGGCCGCGAATTAGCTCCGGCCGAAAACGTAATTCCTGGGTTAACGGCTGATGAGGAACTCTTCGGGGAAATCCTCCCTGATTGGACGATTCGATTATTCATTTTGGCCTCTCTTTTATTTCCTTTCAAGAGGTACTGGTTATCGTTACTTCGAAATCGAAGGGTTACCTCAAGAAATTCTCGTCGAGGCGTCCAGCTGGCCCGCCCGAGTGGTCGAACAATGTGCAATAATAAACGCCCTTGTATCGTTAACGGACCGTCGACTCGTTAACGAGCGGGGAGATAATCGGCGAAAGTGCCGACCGAGGATGGGTATATTGGCGAAGGTGCGGCTTCCTTCCTGGAGGGACACCTCGACGAGCCCCGCCACCCTTGAAGTCGCTCTCGGATTTCTCGGCGAATCGTCACCCTCGGCCTCCAACCCTTAAGGTGATGTGAAAATGGCGTCGAAGAGGTTTTGGTTATAAAACTTATCTCCCAACTCGGTTTACCGAATAGTTTGAAACCTTACTACGTGAATAGGGGGACTATAAGGAAGGTCCGGAAATTCATGAAATGACAATTGTTTGCAAATTTCTTTATAGGTATTTTAAAAATAGTTTATAAAAAATGAAATTTCACGAGTTTCAGAACCTACCTTAGGGTCTCCATATTCACGTTTTAAAGTATGAAACGATTTGAGACACTCAGTTCGTGGAAAAGTTTTATGAACGATTGAGCTTTCAGATGCCACTTTCACATCCCCTTAAAGGTGACGTCAAAGTGGCTACAAAGCTCTTCTTTACGAGACTTTTCTCCGAACTGGGTGCATCGAATCGCTTCAAAATTTACAACGTGAATATGGAGGCTGTAAGGAAAATCCTGACACCCATGAAATTTTAATTCTTTCACTTGTTTATAGGTATTTTTTATTTTTATTTTGTATTAAAAATGAAATCTCATGGGTGTCAGAACCTTCCCTGTAGCCTCCATGGTCACGTTGTAAGGTTTCAAACGATTCGGTAGACTCAGGAGAAAACGTTCATGAACTATCGACCCCACTTTCACATCCCTTAAGGCGGCACGAAAGTCGCATTTTTGACGGGCGAAATTGGCAATCTCATCGACCATCACTCATTTCATCGGATCTAAGAGATTGGTTGAGATTTTACTCCGTGGAGTGAAAACGATACTACGTTATCGAGGGTAGAAAAAATGTGGAAAAATTGTTTAAAAAATGTTGGAAATAAGAGCAACCGGTCGGTGGATAATGTCTAGGACGAGAGTCAGGTTCGACGTCGAGTTTAGCTGCGGATTCCCCGTCTCGCACCAACGGAGATTTCGAATAAATTCGCCTCGAGGTCACTGACCCCTTCGGACCACGTCTTTCGCTTTAACGACTCTTCTCGGATGCCAACTCGTTCGTCGCTGCCATTCCGTTTCCCTTCCCTGGGTCCCCGCGGGCGTAATTGTTAATAACGTTAATTGAACTGGAATCTCGCTAGTAAATCAGCAACTGGGACCGTGCGGAGTGGCTCCTCCTGGACCTGCAAAAGTCAGGAAATGATAAATTCACTCGAGCGGGTCAAACATTTCCAAATTTTCTCATGTTCTTCCGCCATTTGTTTTTTTTTTCTTTTCCTCCCTCTCTTACCTAACGATTGCACGATTACTTCAGGTACCGGAAGACGGGAAAGCGGACGAGCCCAAACAGGAAGCCACGGCCGAGACCCCCGAAAATGCAGAAGTGACGACGCCGACCGAGGCCGCTCCTGCCACCGTCACCTCGCCAGAAACCAAGGAAGCCAAAAAGAAGGACAAGGTATGAAAGAGATTATTCGATGCACTGGAGCGATAGAAAAAAAGAAAAGATGTTAGGCACATGAAGTAAAAAAAAAATATATATATTACCCGGTCGCGTTAATAATTTTCCTGAAAGAATTCAAACAGGACATCCAGGTAGAGGGACAAGAATACACTGCCGGAAATTCATCCATCTACGCTGAGTTACAAAAAAAAAAAAAAAGGTTTTCATTGAATCAGAGAAAATATTTCTTCGAACGGTTCCAAAGAAATATCCCGTCAATTTCATGAACAACGATTTAACAGGAAATAAAATGGAATAAATAAGATGCGACGTTTCTTCCGTGATGACAATTTATTTCGCGAAAACCAGTCGGTCTAAAATCAACAAAATTACGTGTATTCATTATTACACATCGAAAGAAAGAAAATGGCGAAATAAATGGGAACTTCTCGTCTCGTCGTTTCTTTTGAGCGCATGGTGTACGAAAAATGGTGAAATTTTGGGAAGGGCTAGAGTTCCTCGGCTAACCGCCTCGCTCCTTCGTTTCAGCTGAAGAAGAAGTGGTCCCTCAGGTCGATCAGCTTCAGCAAGAAGGATAAGACCAAGCCGGCCCGCGAGGAGACCCCGAAGAACGGGGACGTCACAAAGGAAGAGCCACTGCCCGAGGTGAGTACGGATTCTGGTCCTGGGGGCGAGAATCCTCTCTTCGCCGTCGAGGCGACCTGGCCTCGACGGCTGTTCGGCTCTTCGGGGAGGGACTACCCCGTGGAAAAGCGATTCGGAGATCGGCGTTCGCGATACTCCGGCGGGGGCAATCTTGAGGATAATTTCTACGGTACCTGGAAGAGGCTCGGTCCTAGAGACTCGTTAAATCCACTTGTCGATGGAGATATACACGCACGGGTATGATAAGTAGGCTCGAGCCGGTTCCCACGTGGGCGTCCGTTGGTCCGAGGCGGTCTTCGGGTTCCCCTCGGCCGAGGAGTGGGAAAAACTGGCGTATGAGTCACTTCGATTCGCTCGTAACTCGCACGGGCTTTGCGACTTTCGCCGATCGAGGCCTCCTGCACGTGATAAGGAGCCCCCTACGTCGAGCGAAAGGTGCTACGTACCTGGTGAACGAAAATCTCGGCCACTTCCGGGTGGCGTGGTCCGCGAATTTCGACGGCTTATCCGCGGACCTTGAAATCTCCACCTATGTAGAGGAATCCAACATCCTTACCCGCGCATGGTGGTCCAAGGGGAATTTTTTTATCATTATATGTACTTGAATTTGCATCCGAAGTTTCTTATTAATGTGTGTATATATGTGCACACACTATATATTCTGATAAAAAATTCTAAATCCTTCATCGACGTAACCAAGGAATCTCAGTTTCTCCGTCACTTCCGCCTAGACGAGTCGAAATATGTCCGCGTCTTTCTCGGGATTGTCTCTTCCTGGGCGAGACGGAGACGGCACCAGGGCTGATTGCGAATTCCCCTCGCGTTTCCCTTCTCGAGGCGTCCTATCGAGCGGCGAGGACCGGCTAACCTCGGCTACGACTCGATCTGCGTGTGCGGCCTTTTTGCGGCCCGGCGGAGCGATTTACGCGCGTTAAGGTCGCGACTACGCCTCTACGAGTTGCGTGGCCACGCCTGGCCACGCCGGGTCGCGTCGGACGTGGGGGAGATACCTACGTAGTTTCGCCGCATTTACTAGTATTTCGCGTATGAAGGTGGGGATCCTAAAATTTCTGGAATTTAGTTATACATTTGAAAAATCCTGAAAAGATTGACCCATTGGGCACCACCTCAAGCCGTTACGAAAGGGACATTCCGTACGTACCGAAACGTCATATTTATATTGTTATCTCCAAACTGAGTGCACCGAATCATTTGAAACATCGGCACGTGATATTACGTATACCCTAAGGAAGAAAGCGATGCTCGTGAAATTAGAATTATGAAGAGAAACTACTTTTTTTTTCTATTCGTTCCAGACTGGAATGAAGAACACTTAAAGAAAAAAATGAAATGTAATCTCAGGAGGGCCGCGTTCTTCCTTAGGGCGTATGTAGGATCACGCGAGGAAGGATCAAGTGATTCGGTGCACCTAGGTAGGAGATATGTTTTATAAATAATTCTGACGTTCTGACGCGGATGGAACCACCCTTTGGTAACGCCTTAATATCCCGCGCTCGTTTAACGGCCGTCTCGTCCCGAGTTTTTGCTTTTCGGCGCTTCTACGTCCTTTTGGGCTCCCTCGGCCACGCGATCCCGATGACTCCCGGTGATTTCATTGGGTCATTAGGGACGAAATCAGGCCGAGTGGAAACTAACCGAGACGAAGCCGAGCCGATAACCGGTTCGGTCTTCGAGTCGCTCCTTCGGCCGGCACGCAAGTGCACACGCAACGAGAGACGCGCGGGTCTCCCGGGCCGGCGGGACCGCCGAGGAGGGCCGGGATTATATCGCGTCGCCACTTGGCTGGCCACTCTTCCACGTCCGAGACGGCTTCTCGCCCGATTGACTCTCCTCCCTGCCTTGGCCGCTCCGGGTCTCGCTCCCCGGTAACCCCGAGACTTTTCCGACCCCGTTTTTGCGAGCCGACCCTCCGCCTTTCCGGCCTGAATTTTTTAACTCCCTGACTTTTTACGCTTTCCGGCTTGATTCCTCGACGCCCGCCTTCTCACTCTTCCGGCCTGATTTTTCTTTTTATCGACGTTTTGATTTTTCGACGCCACTTTTCTGGCCTGATATTTTAACGCCTTGAATTTTACACTTTCCTGCTCGATTTTGCGACGCCCGCCTTTTCACTCTTCAGGCTTGATATTTAAATGCCATGATTTTTACCCATTCTGAATATTTTTCGACGCCATTTTTCTAGTCTGATATTTTAATGCCATGATTTTTACTCATTCTGAGTATTTTTCGACGCCATTTTTCTGGTCTGATTTTTCGACGCCACTTTTCTGGTCTGAATTTTTAACGCCATGAATTTTTGCACTTTCCGGCTTGATTTTGAAACTCTGCGATTTTCCGGCCTGACTTTTGTCGATGACTTGATTTCGTCGACCGCGCTTTCCTGGCCTGATCTTTTAACACCGCAATTGTTCACTACCTTTCCTCATTTTCTTATACCTCTTATCTTTCATTTCGGCTACTTGATATCTCGCGCTTTTTGACTTTTTGTCGACTCGATTTTTAGACGCTACCCGATCTGACCTTTCCGTCTTTCGACCTCGTCACGGCGGGACCTATCGCGAAATTGTACACACGGAACGCCACGCATCCGGGAAGTTTGGGCCGTCGAACCGCACGCACAACGCTGCGTTTACGCAGGGCACGGTGCATACGCGATGTTCCGGAGAGAGCGAGGGGGGTTGGATTACCGATTCGTCGGTCAGATAGGCCATTTCCCGTGGAAATTGGACCCGGTGACCTGTCGCGAGGCCATTCAACGCGCCGACCCAGGCGGATCGCCGTGCGACTTTTTTGCGCCCCCTCCTTATCGTCCATATCACGGGTCGTTCCTTATCAATCGAAGCGTTCGCCTCTTGGCAAGGTGTCTTCTGCTTTGGACTCTGGCCAAGACTTGGGTTACCTTCTAATTGGACATCCTTGCCCTCCACCGACGTAAAACACGACCGGGAACCGAGACACTCGTGAAAGGGACGTCGGAACGAAAGTTCGATCAATTATTTCGCCACGGTAGAATTTCCTAGTCTAAAGAGAGATATTATGAGAGGGAGGGAGATAGACGAGGAAACCTTTCCTTAATCGCAATCGGGACGTACGGTGAAATCCATCGAGGGAGGTCGGAAAAAGAAACGGCGACCTGTGCGTCGCCTCTCTCTTCTCTTCCGGGATATCTTCCGTTCGTCTCGCTTCTTCGGGTCCTCTCTCTCTTTCTCTCTCCTCATGGTGACTCAGCCTGTCCCACGCGGGGATTCCTCTTCCCTTGGCCGGGAACCTGGGGTTTCTTCTACGTTATCTCGACCTCTATCCGGCCATGATTCACCCTGGAAGAATCGGTCTATTTTCAGAAAGGGGGAAAAATACGGCGGACAGGGGGAAACTCGTGAAAACCGTGAAAACCGTAAAAACCCATGAAAGTCATAAAAACCACGGAAATTATGAAACCCGCAAAACGGAGACCAACCAATTTCCCTCGTCGCCAGGTATTTCATCGGCCGTTCGCCATTACACATGGGTTATCTCTCTCTTTTTCTCTCTCTCTCGCGCGCGCACGCGTGCGGCCTCTCCTTTCATCTCCGACAAAGAGCGAAACGCGGAAGTCCGACCTCGTGGAAAGACCTGAAATTGTCTATCCCTCGGGGCGTGGCGCGGGGGTGGTTTTCTGATGCAAAGTCCCCCTCGGGGGGGAGGGGACGGTATATGGAGCAGGAGGAAGAGCGAGGTCGAGGGACGGAATCGCGAGGAAGAGAGAAGAGAGAGAAGAGGCGCGTGTGCCCGGCAGCTCTCCGCCGGATTTGGGCGTCGTCTAGTATCGAGCGTCGGGACGCCGGGACGCCCGGAGCTGTTGCCATGGCAACCGACGGCCGAACTCGCGGGGCTTTTCGCACGGGCGTGCACGGCCCGGCAACGGCGCCGCCGCCGGGTCTCCCTTTTCTACCCGGAAGTGCCCCGGAAACCCCTGCTTTGCCACGGCGGATCGCCGGTGGAACTCACGCCGAACCGGTACCGCGGTTCCACGGGGATTTGGCTCCTCGCCTAAGCTGAGGCCGTCCAACGCGGAGATGGAAATTCAGAGAAATTTCGAATTTATGAATAGATAGAGAGTACTTGAGAATTCCATTTATTTTCTGCGGAGTTCTTTCACAAGGGTTTAATCATTGCATACATGAACTAGAACCGTGCAACGCGAGATGAGAATTATTAGAAATTTTGGAGTTTTTTTTTTTTTTTTGGTATCGGTAGATTTCTTTTCCTTTTTTACCCTTCCACGCGATTCTAGTCATCGCCTCGGTTGGAATTGCGAAACATGGAACTAAGAAATTCGTTAACCTTCTTCAGTGTATTCCTCAATAGTTCAACATTCAAAATGGCTCATTTTCTGGGTATTACCCATCGCAGAAATAATCTGAGATTTATAGAATCCGCATAAACGTTCCCATGCGTGAGAGGGTTAGGAGGAAATTTCCTCTGTCCCATTTTCGATACCTAAGGCCACGTATACTTAGTATACGTATGTACACGTGTCGTGCCTAGAGCCCCCGTTTCGGGGGCAGTTTAAGTGTCCTCGGATCCTCTCGGTGCTCTTGGTCTCAACGATGCTTGGTGTCCATTAAAGTCATTAATGGAACGCGGCCCCGATAATGACTTCACCCCCTGTCGACCTCCACTCGAGGATCTTAACCGCCTCTATGAGCATCATCCGATGCCGAAGAGAGGTTGCCCTCGTTATGGAGGATCTTCTTCGATGGGCTCTTCGGGCTCGTTTAATCGGAACGCATCGAAGTCTGGAAACGATGTTGCCAGGGTGAGGTTGTCCACCCGCGACCCCCTGAAACGGGGCGAAACTCTTGAACGGTGGTTTTGAATTCCAGCGATTAAAAAGTACATATATTTCAGAGAGGAAGATGTATCCACTTGGTGGCTCGATATAGACGTTTTACCAGTCGGAGGAAAGGAGACCTCACCCGGAGTAGGGACTCTTCATCCCCTGAAGAGGCCCTGGTTGGGCACCCCGGCCACTTCCAGACATCCCCGCGAGGCAGACTTCTTTTTCCGAGTTTCCTTCGGTGATCGATACCCGCCGGAAGTGGGCTCACCTCCCCGGAGGTGAAGTTCCGCTTTGCAGCTTTGGAACGGAACCGCTCTAACGCGACCTGGCCGCTTCCTCCCCCTGCGCACATCCTGGAAATGTGCATCGATTCGCGCGTTCACCTACGAACGGACACGAGAGGGAGAAAGAGAGAGGAGAGAGAACCCGCCCTCCTTTTCCACGAGTCGCGTTCCTCGTACGTTGTTAAAGGCGGTCGTCGGGTCTCTGCCCTCGGAATGTCGAAATCGATACTCCCCGGCCACCCTTTCGCCCTGGCAACCCTTTACAGTCCTGTTGACCACGACCAGTCTCTCTCTCTCTCCCTTCATGACCATTGATTTATCCATAAACTCTACGCGGAAATTCGTGCGACACGGCAACCGTGGAAAATCCGCGAGAAAGCTGATGTTAAAACCCTTATCGATAACCTCTCCCCAGGGATGATAACGTCCTCCGATTTTCAAGATTACTCCACGTACAGATACAGTTACCGTCTCGCACTTTATCAGCTGTTTGGAGTAACGGGAGCCGTTTTAGCGTCACTTCTCCTCGTTAGTTTCTAGCAGCGACTCGTCGCTCTTCGAGGTCCTCTTCTAGGTTGTCGTCTCGGAGGAGCGGTTTTCCTCGGCTGGTAAAGTCGGCCCAAGGTCTTCCAAATATAATCCTGCGTCTCTTGAACGATGCTGCCGCGCAGTGGCGAGGAGAGGAAGCTTTTTAACACCTTCTCGTCCTGCCCCTAAAAAGGAAAATCGTCGATTTCCATGGATGGACTTTAGTGCTAGAAAATTGGATCCAATATGTTATTTCGTACCACTTGGTCTTCATTCTGAGCGATGGAAAATGTATTCCTAAATTCTCCTCCGCCAAAGGTGGAACTAAATTTCTCCTGGCTTGTCCTATTCGACCCTCGACCTGAAATCTGGAACGCATGTATATTTTGCAGACTCGATTATAGGGACGATATCGACTCGAGGATCCTCGTTATTAATACATGCGCGTATCCTCAGTGGTACAAGGCTACGGCTAGTGCCGGCTATTTATAGGGATCGGCTTCTATATTTATAAGGACTTGCGGAGCCGGGCGCCGAACATAACCTAGACGCGTTTCGCGGTTCTATTTCTCGCGCGGAACACCGCGACTCCAGGTATACTCTCTCCGTCTCTGTTCCTCCTCTGTACCAACGTGCCCAGTAATGGCCTCGGCTCGAGTTTCCTACGAGATTTCTCACTCGACTGCAAATACGAGAATTAATCCTTACGAATCGTTAATATGTCTCGAGTATCGATGTCACCCTCGCTCGGTATCGTTGTCCAACGGTAACTCGCCCGTGTCGCGTCGTCCGCCATCTTGTTTCCACGTCCACTTGTCGGTCTAACTTGATAATTGAAGTTATACCGTATAGAAAATTGCAGAGACTTGTAGGGATCTCACAGTCCCTTGGAGCTTTTCTTTTACCTTGTTATCCATGTTCGTTTAGCGAGGATTAACCCTAACCTTTCTTTCTTTTTTTTTTCTCTCAGTGCACCCGAAGTCAGACGATTCGCTTGAATCGCGGGTTAGGTAAACCTTGGTTAAGGATTTTAACTCGTTTGTTGGATGCCCTAAAGATGCGGTTCGGACCTCTCTCGGCTAGGTTCCCGGCGTTCCGGACCATCGAACGACTCGCCTCCTCTCCCGGGCGAGGTGCACCGCGGACACCTCCGCGCCCGTGACGGTCGACGTGCGTGTGCGTCGGTGCCGTATTCCGCTCGGCCGGCTGGCCAGGAATAGAACGGCGGTGTCGACGCGCGGTTTCGCCGCGGACGATTTTTCCCTGCGAGCCGGTCGGCTCGCTCGCTCGAGAGAGAGCTCAAACGGAACTCGGAAGAAAATCCGAAGAAAGATCACATGGGTCGTAAGAAAGGATCATAGGGAACAACGCAGAAATTACGAGAAAAAATTGGAGAGAAAACCACAAAGGCTTTTCCTTTCACTCTTTCTCTCTAGCTGCCGCATCTACGTTATTCCCTCATCTCACTCTTCCACTCCTAGAGTATGAAAACAGGCCCTTAGTACCGCCCGCATCCCGTAGAAATATCTCGCTCTTTCTCTCTCCCACCCGTTCGACTGCCCATCGCTCCGTCTCCCTTGCCGCGCGCCCGCATCTCGTCTATTTTCGCCCGCATCTCGGGTGTATCGCGCTCTCGCTCTCTCGCGCTATCCGCGCGTATCGCCGTCCTCGTCTCGCCGCGTCGTGGGCGATCAAGTCGGATCGCTCGGTCTCCCTCGTCTATATAAACCCCCGAGCGCAGCAGACGGACTTCGAGTACGGGCTTGGCGCTCGATCGGAGCGCACTTGAGGTGCACCGAATTTCGTGATCGATCCTCGAGAATCGACCTCGTCTCTCTTCCCTCGTCCCTCTCTCTGTTTTTTTATCTCTCTCGATTTTGGCCCTCCGTAGAAGAGACTCCGGAATGGACGCGCGCTAGATAAAACCGCGCTCTCGATAACTCTCGGTCGGAAGTCCGAGGTCCCCCGGAGGACCTTAAAGAGTGGCTGTTGGGCAACTCGAGGTCTCTCGGGAGAAGCTCTTCGGAGATAACATGGAATCCGTCGCAAAAGTGGGCCGCAGCGTCGGCGACGGTGTGTGTAGGGCCGCGAGCGCCCTGATGCGGGGGACCCGCCGAGTTTTGGCCGCGATCCCGCTCATCGGAATCCCCGCCACCTTCGTCGGGACCGATGATCCCATCACGGTACGGCACCCTTTGAAAAAATTCATAAAATCCATGAAACCCAGGAGAGTAACTGCTAGTGGACGTTAAGGTGATATGAAAGGGTCATTTTGGATATATCGAACCGTCAAAATGTTTATTAAGCTTTTCCCAAAACTGGGGCCACCGTATCATTAAAAACATCAACGCGTGATTATGAAGGTTCTAATGAAGGTCTTAAAACTCCCGAAATTTTATTTTCTGAAATGGAACTTTTTTTTCGGCATATCCGGGATGGATAAGAAATTTTCTCTCGAAAAATGAAGTTTTAAATTATTCTGTATTATTTAGTATGAAGAAGTGTTTTATAAATATCTTAGCTGGCATGTACATGAAACTTTCATAACACCTTGACACTGCGAGATGCGCAATAAACGGCAGTTCCTAAAATTATAGTTATTACAAATTGTATAGTGTATTATAGTATATCTCGATTTGATGTACATTGGCGGACATGAATGTATATTTCTGTGCATACGGTGCTGCCAGGGGTACGATAGGCAATCATTCGTGTCCGCCTGTGTACGATGCAAATTGAATGATTATTTTTTAATAACAGTCTCTATATATAAAATCTTAACTGGCTTAGAGATAATAAACGCTCTGCTTAAGTTCCCGGACGTGGGGAAATCTTTTTCCACGGCAATTTCATTCGAGCACGGGATTTTCTCTGGTAATTCGATACATAGAATTTTTCCGCCAGTTATGGAAGAATCCAGGACGGTATAACTCACCGCAAGGGTAAGGCGACACTCTTCAAGGGTGCCTCAACGGGGCGAAAATAGACCCTGAGTGTTTTCCCCGGCGAAAGCCGAGGGGAAAAATACTTTCTCTCATCGACAGACCCTCGTGTCGAAGACTCCCTTAAAATAGAAAGAGTCGCGGCGAAAGGTCAGGATCGGTCTCTTCCGCGTCTCTCTTGCCAGCTCTCTATATATACTCCGCGCGTCTGGTCGACCCTCCTAAAAAAAAAACAATAAAAAATAGTAGATTTTCGAAAGGGGCGTCGTTATTCCGGAGGGTGTAAGCCTCGTCGCCGAGCTCCCCGCCTAATTTGCAATTCCCTCTTCTCNTGTATTTTTTTCCCCATTGGAAATAGATACCCGGGTTTTTTACTTCATGTCGCAATCCTAGTCACTCGGTGGTCTTCATATTTTTGTAGCTCACGTGCTTCTCGTATATCTAACGATGTTATCTCATGAAATGTAAGGTGGAAGTACACCTGTAAGGGAAATTAAAAGAAACTGAAAAAGGAAGGACTTTTTATAGAGGACTTCAAAGAGTTCATCGCTACCAGCCTCTCGGCGTGCCGAGGCGCATCGGCAGCGATTTATGGCGGGCGATAGCGATCGAGAAATGCGGAGCCGTTCTATAAACGCGATCGCTCTTTTATACGTCGCTCGATCAAAAGGCCGGAGGCTAAACCCGGCGTGTTTCACGCTCCACGTCGAGGCGTTCGTTCCGAGGAAGCTCGTAATTCTGTCTGACTCGACGTAAGATTTGCCCTGCAAAGCTGCCTCTTCCTCTGGGAAGAGGATAACGGCATCATCGGGGCCGGCCTTAATCCCATCCAATCCTTGCCCATTGTCTTAAACCCATCCCCGTGTAACTTGCACGCCTTAAAGCTCGAATTTCGTTCCGCCTTCTAGACATTTAAGACCTTACCCGGAGCTGACGTTACGCGTCGGAGAAAATATTCGGATTTCAATTCGCTTAGTCGGATCGCTAGTTAGGTTAGGTCGTCGCCTTGCCCGTTTAAACCGTCTAAAATCTATCTCTTGAACCTTGGAATTTTGTACCGCATTTTCCTAGATATCTTGTAGACCTTCTCTCGACCTGACGTTTTATACCAAGCGAAATGTGAAATATTTACGGCTTGTTGCTAGGTTAGGTTAGCCTTATCGGCACTTTTTCCGAGCGTGATCCGCCATGGATGAGCGAGGAGGAGACATCGAGCCTCGATTTTACATTCGTTCACGTCGGCTCTAAATCTCTGACACGCTCTATCGTGGAACACGCCTTTCTGTCGATCGGCTTTATCAGACCGATGCGAAATTACTGTCGGACGCGCTCCGGCGAACCGAGTAAACGCGCCGTTTCGCGTTTCCGAAATAAACGTCGACACGCTCGTCTCGACGGTAGAAATTAATTCTCTACATAATATACTAAGTAATTTGACATATCCCATCGGTCACAGGAATTCATTTCCGACACGATACGTTTAATAATTCCAAAGGTTCAATCTACCTAGGTTAACTTTCAAAATTCACGGATAAAAAGAGGGAACTTTTGGATTTACGTGATTACATAAGAGTAGAGAGTATTCTCGGAGGGTGTACTGAGAGAAAAAAAAACAGAAATGTGCATTGCTACAATAAGATCCTGCGATAGAATACGTCCAAAGAAATGTCAGGTAGAGGGAAGAAAATGCATTTAAATCAACGATATATAATTCTTTCAGTCGACTATTCTTTCTTTCCCAGTGTTCGCTCGAGGCGAGATGATTGAGCGATATCGCGAAAAGAGCGATTGCTTGAAAGGAGTGCCCGGAAGTAGCCCTAATGCCGCATTAACGTCCTCGTGGACGAGCCCTAAGCCCATCTTACGGAGAGAATCCTCGGTGAGCTCTTCCCGATTTCATGGATTTACTCGAGTCTGAGAGAGAGAGAGAGAGAAACGCCATCCTCCGCCCTGGACTCTTTGTCGTCGACGAGCTCGAGCTTTAAGCAGCTTTCCTCGGTTCCCAGGAACACCTTCCCGACTCGGCATCCTCTCGAGGCCCTTGAAATACAAGATTTCGATATCTACAACTACCGCCTGGGCGATAACGAATTTTCCTCTATTTTTAAACCGCCTTAAATATACCCCGAGGGGTGCACTTGGCGCGAGACGCGGCCGAGTTTCGCGACAAGTGCATTTGGCGTGCGACTGAGTTCCACTGCGATCTCGCGTGTCGATCCTAGAAGATGACCCACTTGGGTCGGCGACATCTCGAGAAATCAACGGCGAGGTCGAATCTCCTTCGAGGATTTCCCAGGACGATTTCCACGCCGGGAAGTGGGCAAGCCGCACAATGGCGCGGGCTCGTCGCCAATTTTCCGAAATATGCGTGGAAGTATTACCCTGGTGGTCTGCCAACGGCGCAGCCTGGAATTCTGCGAGCCGAGGATGTTTATTCCGGTCCGAGTGCGGGGGTGGCGCGTCCTTCCTCTCGGGTCCAGGATCGTGGATTTCCCTTCCTCGCGGTTTATATTTGGCTCGGCGCCGACGAAGAGATTCGAAAGTGTCTTCGAGAGTCCACTATACCAATCGACGGTCACTCTGATAATATCAAGACTGTATTTCGGATTTTTCATAATCCACATTTCCGTCTTCCACCCTCGCCGGTAATTTCGCATCGAAACGGCGAACGCGGCCTTGCAGGGGTGGATTAAATTTTTTTTAAACCCGAAGACCTACCCTCTGCAACCGAAGGAGAGCGAGGGTGACGCGACTCGGGTTTCCCAGGGAGGCCTATTCCTGTTTTTTTTATTTTTTTTTTCCTTCGATAAGTGTCGCTTCTCCTAGAAATGGACCTGGAGGATTTGTAATATATTTGTCGTTATCGAGTTTTAAAATGGAATCGACAAATGGGGGTGAAGGGAGGATAGAGAAATTGCGGAAAAAGGGACTTACGTCTCTTGACACAGTGACACGGTTGGCCACCCCTGAAGACGAGGGCGAATCCCCTCTTTTTTTAGAGTCTCTCCCCCTCTGGCAAACCTTTCTCCGCGAAGCCTCCGGTACACAGGGTACTTCGACCTCCACCGACTCGTTGTTCACCCTTCCTCGGTGTTTAAGCTCCCCGGGACTCACCCCTACGCGACAACTGTCGCTCTCTCCGCCGAACAAAAAATAATAGTATGGTTGAACGAGCCTACCTTTTGTACCGCACTCGCCCGTCGTCGCCACGAGCGATCGGGTTTTTTTATTCTCTCGGCCGAATCTCTCACCCTCTCCTTCCTCCGGGGTGAGCATTAGGGATTGAAGTCGGAAATTGCAACTAGCTGCTGGGTGGGATCTTCCAGCAGGGGTCGGGCACCGCCATCTTGGATTGACTGCGTTCTCCAAGATGGCGGCGCGCGGACATCTCGATAGTGTTGCCGCTTGATAAATTACCGTAAAATGCGGCGAAACTCGATCGCCAATGAATGATTCATTTGTCCTCAGGATGGGAAAGAGGTCGAAAGCATGATGACAATCCCGCTCTAGAGGTTAAATTCGGAAATTGCGTCTCGCATGTGGGATCGAATCCGAGCGCGTCGCCATTTTGGAAGACATCTCGCGCTGATTCAAAATGGCGGCGCACCCGACTCGTGCGAGACGCGCGAACATCTCGATAGCGTCGTCGTGTGATAAATTACCATGAAAGGCGTCGAAACTCGATCCCAAATGAATAGTCCACTTGTTTGCAGGGTGGCGAGGAAGCAGAAACCGCGGCGGCGATCGCCGGCAGCCCCACAGAGGAGAAATCCGCCGTGAGCAGTCCAACGGGAGCGGAGTCCGGGCCAGGTGGCGCCACCGCGGCCGAGGCGAAGGACGAGAAGTCCGCGGCCGCCCCGGCCGAGGAAAAGAAAGAGGAACCCACCCCCAGTGCCCTGCCCACTCCCGTCCCTGTCGAAGAAAAGAAAGAGGATAACGAAAAGGTCGAGGCCGCGCCCGCTGATAAACTCGAGGTCAGTCCGGTGCAGGAAGTGGTCGCGGTAGCAGGCCCGGTAGAGGGCCCGATAGGAGCTCCCCGCGCCCAGCCGATCGCGACGCCGTCTGTCATTGAGAGGAAAACCAATGAGGACGCTCCCTCCACGGTCCCCTCGAGCCCGCCCCCGACCCCCATAGACCCTTCGCCCCTGCAACAGGCCCACCAGGTCGGGGCTAGCGCGTCCGCTTTAGCGGAAGCGCTCAAGTTGCCCGCCCAGGCCAGCGCCGCCCGAGAGTCCGCCTCCTCGCCCACTTCCTCGTCCTCTCCGTCGTCGCCAGTCCATCAGGCACCCCCCCATAGGCTTCCGACCCAGGATCATCCCCAAGAACCTACGCCACCAACTGGTCAGGGTAAGCCAGAGCACGGAGCCAGCGAGGGAAGCCCCGAGATCGGTGGTAAGGTCGTCGAGGAAGCGACAGAGCCGGAAATCACCGCAAAGAATGTTTCGTCAGAGGTGTGTTCGGCCCCCACCGGCAAGATGGAGGAGAAGGAAAAGGAAGAGCAAGAGTCCAGGTCGGACGTCGGCGATTTGGTGATAGATTCGGAGGAAGGACCCGTTCCGGTATCCGAAGAGGTTCCCGAAGACAAGCCCGAGGTTGTATCAACGGACCACCTTGACCTTCCCAAAGAGATGGTGATCGTGGAGACCGTCGAGGAGGTGTCGCAGGTGGACGTGCCACCGGAGCAGGTCGTCGCCCCCGATGTGGTTGTCCTAGAGGAGGCAGAGGAGACAAAGAGCGAGACTACCGAGAGCGAGACCGTCGTAGAGGAGCCAGTGGTCGAGGTCGTCGCGGTTGTCGAAGAGGTCCTTCCAGCGGATCAACCGGTCGCGGCTGGGGAAATTGGGTCCGAGGTCGTCGTTCTGGAGGAGATCGTGGAAGACGTTTTGCCACAGGGAAGCGGAGACGTGGAGCAGAAGACGCAGAAAAGCGAGAGGATCCTCGTGGCAGTGGAACCCGAGAAGGAGGAGCTCAAAGATGAAGGGCCCACAAACGAGGAACTGAAAAACGAGGAACCCAAAAACGAGAAACCCAAAAATGAGGTGTCCAAAGACGAGGTTCCTCCACCCCTACCGGAATCCCCGATCCCGGTGTCCCAGCAGTCTCAGGAGATGCTGAAGTTCATGGCGTCGAACATCGAGGAGGAGCCCCGAGTCACCGAGGATGGCGCCTGTCCGTTGCGTCCGAAGGACTCGCCGCACCCTGGCGAACAACCGACCTCGACCGTCTCCGACCTCGAAAAGGAGGTACCGGTCGTCGATAATCTAGTCGATCTACGGGAAGAAGAAACACCAGATCCTGCGATTGCCCCTCGGGATGCCCCGGTCCCTGGCGACGAATCCCCCTCTCCCTGTCCGGAAGAACCCCACGTTTCTCCCCAGCTCCCAGAGGAACTCCCAGACCCCCGGGAGCCGATCGAGGTCCCTTGCCCCGCCAGCCCCGCGGCCTTGCTCCCGACTCCACCCAGGAGTCCCACTCCCCTCGACGCCGTCCTGGCCACGAGAGAGCGCGCGCAGGGGATCCCGACCTCGCCCCCCGTTGACCCGGAGCTCGTACCGAAGGAGAGGTTTACCCAGGAAACGGCACTGGAGGTGGCTAATGGCGGCCCGGCTTCTAGTGCCTTGTCGAGCGCCAACGCGCGGATTGCCCTCCAGGAACACGAGCAGGTGACTAGACCAAGAACCAACTCCTGGCATGAATGAGGTCGCCGCCGAGAGCACCCTGGTGCCCCGTTCCAAAGCATCTCCGTCAGTACGCTCCGCGACTGCCTTTCTCCGTGGTGACCCGAGGCGCGTCGAGTCCACCTGGTCCGTCCTTGGTCCTGGTCCTTCGTCTCCTGGTGATTCCTTGATTAGTTCTTTCTGGTCTGGTAATTCCTCGCCCGGAAATTCCTCGTCCAGTAATTCTTCGTCTACTCATTCCTTTCTGGACCCGACGCCCATGAAATTTCATTTTTTTTTAACTGTCGAAAAACAGATTTCATATTTTTTATACAATATTTTTAAACGTCGATAAACGGTTTTCAAACTTTGTATTTAAAAAAAAAATGAAATGTCACGGGTGTTGGGACCTTTCTTAGGACCTCCAAATTCGTATTACGAGACGTGAAACTATTTGGTAGACCCGGTTTAGAGAAGAGTTTCGTAAACGATCGTTCCTTCGGATACCACTTTTGTGTCGCCTTAACCCAAAGTCCAGTAACGACCAGTCGACTCAGTCTCCTCGTCAACCCGAAGTTTCCGAAGAGCAGCCAAAGGATGCGAGTCCTTTCAGGTCCCCAGGATATCCCGGAGTTCCTCGGAGAAACTCGAGTTCCTCGGCGACGAACCCCCTAGAGTTCTGTCCTCTCTTTCTCTCTCTCTCTCTGTCTCTTTCTCTCTCTTTGTATTAACACCTCTCTGGCGCTTCGAACCTCCTTGTGTCCGTCATACCTGTGTTGTTTGCCTCTTGGTTTTCTGACGAGAGGAGATTAACAAAACTCTAGTGCTCTGGCGACTTGTAGCGAGGGAACGAAAGTCGGCCCCGGAGGAGAGGTCGGAGGAAGAGGATGCACCGGGATACCGAGTTGTCGGGACCGCTCATCCGAGGTCTCGTCTCGGAGCTTAACATTGAGACATTCGCTTTGGGCATCCGCTAGACGCGAGGACTCATTGATAGACGTACTCTCTTAAGGAACTAACCCTTCCCGTCCCCGATGTCGTGTGTAGTCATTTTGCATTTTTGCTTTTTTTTAATTTTATTTTTTGTACAAGCGAAGCTTTAATAACGACAGGGTAAATTCAATTAATGCGAAGGTCGTACAGCCAGAAGTGAAACGTTTATCTTATCGGAGTACCTACTTTCTATTTTTAACATTAAATCACAATTACAAGTCGAAGCATCAGCCGGTACAAAGCTCTTACTTCTGGCGCACGGCTTTCCATGTATTCCTATTATTTTTTTAATAGGCGTAATGGCTCGGGGCCTAACGTCTTAACCGTAGCGACCCTTCAAGAAAGTCGTCCTCCACCTCTCGGAAAATGCATCCGGCGTATGTGAGCATCGTGAAGCATCGAGCTGCATGTAGAATTGTTGCCTTGTCCGGGGGGATCCTTCGTCTCTGTGTTGCGTCGTGTGTCAGTGATCCTGTCGAGGCGTCCTTCGAATCGTCCGTATGGTCCCCTAGGTATAGGTCGACGCGAGGTCCCTTTATACCCCACCTCCTGGAAGAACCCATGGGGAATGTCCTAGATGGTCTTTGTCCTCGTTGGAAGTCGGAAATGAGGCGAAACCGACAGGATCGACCTCGCGTAGCTTGTCCGTTTGCGCAGCATGTCTGGGAACAGTCGACCCTGACGGACTAGGGTCCTTAGATTTTCTCAAATTACCTAATAAGAAGAGTCTCTCGTCTTTCAGAGCAAACCCGAGGTCAAGGCTCCGGTCGAGAACGCCGTCGCGAAAGAGGTCAGCACGACGGAAAGCGTCGACGAGGCCCCGACAAGTCCGCCACCTGCAGTCCCTGTTGAGGCCCCTGTTGCACCTGCGCCTGCATCCGCACCTGCAATCACCGAGGACGTCGCCTCAGTCACCAAGGTACCTCGACGTTGGCTCTCGTCTTCTTCGCAAGATAGAAAATATCTCCCTCTACGTCGAGTTTCCTCCTTGAGGTGTAATGAAAGGGTCATTTTATATATATATATATNCGGTACGTGATTATGGAAGCCATAAGGAAGAACGTGATGCTCGTGAAATTTCACCAACAAAAAACATGTCCCTGAGTCTAGTCTAGGATAAGTACATTTGTTTTTTTTTTAATTATAATAAAATTTCACCAGCATCGCCAGCTTTCTTAAAGCCTCCATAATCACGCGATGAAGTTTCAAATGATTCGGTGCACCCAGTTTGGAGAATAATTTTATAGGTATTTTGTCGTTTGATTAAATGATCCTTTTATAACACCTTAACGTGGCTACGATTGAATTGCTGCGATCAATCTGCGCAGTTAAATCGATGGCTAACACGGATTTATCGTTCCGTGGGTAGCCATTTTTTACTCGTTAAATATGATGATCGCCTGATGATCATCCGCGTTCGAAGAACGCGGGTGATTCTGGAGGTCCGTTGACATTGTAGAGACGTTGACGATCTAGGGAGACTACTGAGCGAGGGGCCATCTGACTTTTTGAATGACTATGCTCTTGATAAAATTGATAAAGGCTTTGCCTAATAGCGATTTGTTTCTTGCAGGCCATAGAAGAGATCGACATAAACGAGAAGGCCGTCGCTGCGGCAGTAAACGAGTCCATCGAAAGCGCCACCACGAACGTAAGTATTTTATACGTTAGTTTGCGTATCTTCTTACTTTAGTATACGTATTATATACGTACATTTTCCTGCGTTACTCTGAAGACCTAGAGAACGGAAAGAACAAATAAATTGTTTAAATAAGAACGATCGTCTAACTTGAGGCCAACATTTATGTTTCAGGAAATCGTCGCCGAGACACGCCACCAAAACATACTGAACGAATAAGCGCGCCACTAACCGAATTGTATTTTGGAAAGAAGAAAGTTCTTTTCTCTCGTTAAAACCAAAAAAGTATATTATATAGATATGTATATTTGGACCATTCCTGCAACTAAACAGAAAAATAACGTTCTTTCGTTACGAGCGAGCAGCAAAAAAGGAAAGGAAGAGAGCCGAGCCGAGGGAAGAAAGAGGAGGAGAGAGAGAGAGAGAGGGACGCCGGCGAAGGGGCCCGACTTGCGACGCGCGTCGCGACGCAGACTTTATAAGTAGATCTATTAATTATTAGACACGATATATATTCGATGGTAGGCGAGCGAAGGATTTTTGGATAAACTACGGTCGAATAATTTAATAATTGAAACCTAGCGAGAGGGGCGCGCGAGGTGTCGGAGAGAGGGAGAGAGACTCTCGGGACGCGCGATCGGTCGTTAAGCCGGTCACTTAAGCGACGATTTATTAATGCTACTACGTAAGGGGAGCGAAGTAACGAGAGAAAGAGAGGGAATAGCGAGGGAGGCGAGAGGAGGAGAGAAATCGCGAGGGGCGCGGAGGGATGAGAATTTTAACATTGGGCGGTGCCCATCGCAGGCCACACTTACCCTGCAGTGTAGAAATTTTAAAGTGTCATTAATTGTTATTAAGATAAGTAATGTGCGCGCGAGCAACCATTGCTTGGCGGACGAGCGACGGGAGCGATGAGAATTGATGCGAGAAAGCGAGCGTGCGCGCAAGAGAGAGAGAAAGCGAGAGAAAGAGGGACTTATTCGGGGGGTATATCGCGAGGCCGTGTATACTCCGAGGGGAAATACTCAAAAGGGTGGCGCCCTCCCATTACGACACTACTATTGTACACTGAGAAAGAAAGTAAGAGACGAGGAAAGATGGCCTGAATGGGGGTGAGAGAGAGAGAGAGAGAGAGAGTGAGGAGGTGTGCAAGGTACGCAGTGTCTGCTCGGAAAGAGATGGAGGAGGAACAACGGCGTGGCGCGTGCGCGCGAACGGGAGCGAGAGAGAGCGCGCGAGGCGAGGCGAATGTGCCCGAGCGAGAGGGATGACCCACGTTAAGGGATCGATTGAGAAAAGCCGGGCCGCGGGCGAGAGAGAGGCACAGTGCGCGTGGTGTATGTGTGCGAAAGAGAGAGAGCGAGCGACAGGGGAAAAGGGTAACGAAGAAACGCTGAGGGAGATATAGCGAGCCATTAAGCGAACGCGACGCGGTACTTCGGGGAAGAATGCTTTCTTCATCTTCTTTCTCATTTTTTTTTTTTTCATCTTTCAAGAACAAATGTCATTTAAATGCGAATCCTCCGTGCTCTCCTTTTTATTCAACGCCGAGTGAAATGCGGCGATTACTCGTGGCGGCCATTTTGAAATCCGGGATAGTGTCTCCTTTAACACCGTCCACGATTAAACGGAATTATCGGGAACGATTGGAAGTGGTGTTAAGGCGATGCGAAAGTTACGTCGAGGAGGCCTCGTTTATGAAGCTTGCAAATTGGGTTTGCCGAATCATATTAAATTTACATCGGGGATATGGAGGCTATAAGGAAGGTCCTGACGCCCATAAAGTTTCAATTTTTTTAAAATTTGTTTATTGATATCTTCAAGATTTTTTTATAAAAAAATGAAATTTCATGAGCCTCCAGACCTTTGTTGTTAGCCTACGTATTCACTTCGTAAAGTTTGAAACGATTCGGTACACCTAGTTCGGAGAAAAGCTTCATGCACGACTAACTCCTCGGATACCGCTTTCACGTCCCCTTAAGAGAAATTGAAAATGCCCCGCTTCTTAACACATTGCGTACAGGTCACGAGATATCTCGTACATAGCAAATCGAAACTTGTGGCCGGGTTACGATATACCTCGTAACCCGGTCACGAGTTAAAAAATGTGCGGACCCTGGAAGCGCGTTGAGCGAGCAGAGTGCCGTACGCAATGTGTTATTACTGATCTTATAATTTCTACCACCAGAGAGCGCGAGAACTCGCATTTCACCCGCGAAAACGAAGACTGGACGTTCACGGAGAGAAGGAGAGGAAAGGAACTCACGTACACACACACTCACTCTCACACACACACGCAAAGTAAAAGTAATACAGTAAGTCGAGCAATGTAAGTGATATATAATCTAGAGATAGAGAGACGCGTTCGTGTAAATTCGGCGTTCGTTCGAGATGCTAATTCTCCATACCGAGAGCACACACACCTACGACGGAGCCTATCGTAATTTTTATGATAATAATTAAATATCGCCTAATTAATACGATTACGATTACGGAAAACGAGAGAAGGGGAGGGAGGAAACGGAGCCCGCACAACCACCGCCACACTACCGACACAAACTACGAGCCACCGACTTAAGGGGAAAGAGGCAGAGGAGGGGGAGGGAGGGGGAAAAAGAAAACAAGAAAATAAGAAAATTAATAAACAACGGCACCTTTTTCAAGTTTTTCATACGATGTTTCTACGTTTATACGGATCTCTCGCGACGTTAAAAAGTAATTGCGTAAACGAGTGATTTTTTTATCGAAGCCGTAGCGTAGGGATATAATTAAACTTAACGAACACAAACACGCCATTCTAGATACGCTCTCCGGGTCGGAATATCTCTAAGCGTTTTCGAGCCGACATTGATTTTAAAACGACACACCCTCACACACACATACATTTAAATATACGTAAGGAGGGAAGAATGGAAATTAAAAGTTGTATAGTAAACCCACTGTAATGGAATTTAATCATCGTCCGTGGGAATGATGTCTACAACGAAATTCGCCGTTTTCTCTCGAGAATATACGTGTAAGACTACCCTTCGACAAGAGCGGACCTTGTTTTATTTCGATTCTCGGACACGACTGTTTTGCGCATCCAACACTGTCAATGGTTCTCTTTGAGGCCATCCACGAGGCAACGATTCGAGCTCGAATTTGTCCCGTTTGCCTACCCGTCGTCGTGGTAAGACTTTCTTTTCTTTTTGGAAGTGAGCGTTTGCCTCGCGGATGCTTCAACGCGAGAAGAAGAAAATACAGTCTTCGGTATCTTTGATCAGCAGTTATAATAGTAACTAAACTATTCTACATTTATCTATAACGTATAATAAACTGTGAAACAAGTGTACGATATCCAGGTGTCAATTGTCGTCCCGGTCTCCTCGATGGTTCGTGTCACCTTCCATTCTTGCTACGGTTGCAGTTTGTCGCTTTGTTGGACTTTATTTCTATTTCAATGTCGGACTAACATGGTGCGGATATCTTAAGGAGCCTGGAGATTTTACCTTTCTTAATTTCATTTTATTTCCTTCGTACAAGTTTAGAGAGCTACAGGATATCATGGCTTAATGCTTTCTAGTGCATTTATTACGGTCTCTAGTTCTTCCTTGTTTAATTCCATCCCTACTATGTTACGTTCTTTACGGTCTTCCACTATGAGATCTAACTGTAAAACTGGTTCTCTCAATGTTGCTAGCTTACTGGAGCCCATTAACAACTGAAATGTAACGGTGTTGTGCATTATCTTAACAATCTTTAATAGGTATCTGGTTTATGCGTGAATAATAAATTGTCATTTACCCTTAACCGCCAGTCAAAGTCCGTTAAGGTTGGTAGGATTTTTTTGGACGCTTTCCTTATTAACACATTAGTTAATTGTTCTTGACGCAGTTTCAAGCAGTTAACGACGCAGCTCCTGACTTCTTCTGGCAACTCAAGATACTCCAGAGAAGCCTATAGTTACACAATTCGTGTTAGAAAGGCATGAAATTTTATTAAAGGTATTTTAAAAATCACAATAGCACTACCTTTTCTTCTGACAAATATAACAATACTGGATTTTGTAAGAGTGTGGAGATAAGAGCGTACGCGGTATCGTACTCTTCTCTACTCCAATTTATAGTAGTACTGAAGTCCTCATAAGCCACTCGTGAATAATCGCAAATTTCGTCGATACATGCATGCAAAAACTGAAATAAATTTTGGATCCAGTTTCAAGAGCTGTGTCAAGTACTGGGTAATTATAACGCATGGAGTAATGTCAAACTAACTTGATTCAATGCGGAGGATGTGATTGTGCTGAACAGTTTAACGTAACAATTACGATCGTTTTCCATTCTTGCCTTTTTCAGTAAACGTCACGAATTATTATAACCTCAAAATCTCCGTTTGACAATTCACTTACATGTCAACAATTACAGGTCCTCGTGACCATGTGATTTCCATACTGTAGAATATAAATTTGTTGGCTGTACATAAACTAAATTTTTCTGAAGAAAGTTCTGAGCGGTACAAAATCGTACCTGAATAAATGTTAATCGTTAATGAATATCAGAGATGAGTTGGGAGATTGCTCACGGAAGGGATCGTGAGATCGCATCCTGTGCTGCCCTCTGGTTTCGTACGTTAGCTTTCACCGTTTTTTGCCCCCAAGGGCGGCGCAACGAATTTCTGATATTGA